ATATAGAACTGGAGGTCGCTGGAACAGAATGTTGCTACTCGGAGTTTCACGCTATTGCGATCGTCAGGCAACTGATCTATATATATATATATATATATTATTTTATTATATTTAAAGGGCTGTGGTGATTTAATTTAGTTTCATCAATCAATCTAGGTCAACCCTTGTAAGGTGGCTGACGATTTTAGTTTCAAAAGCTATAGAACCTATGGCTTGGATACAGAGTAACTTGGCTGTAACGTCCACATTAGTAGTTGCACATTAACAAAAGGTTGCCGTATGATACCATGATGTCACATACTGCTCTATTGTTAGAAAGTTAATATTTGTCTCTGTTATTTAAAATACTTTCTTATACATTTGAAAGCTGTTAGCTTACTTGTATATACAATGTAGGTAATTCAGATATTGACTTCACATTCAATCAAAACAGTATCAGTTGTGTGTTTCACAATACATTATTGTTCTGGAGTAATGGTTGTCTGTTCTTTTTTTACAATATGATACTTTATTGAACTGAGTTTTTAAAAAAAATGTAGTTGCCTTTGATGTAATAGTTATGTGGTTGAATTATTAATTATTATTGTTATTAATTATGGCTAAAAGTAATATTTTTGTGCATTTTTTGTTATTGTTTAATTTTATTATATTGTAAATATTTTTGTATACTATGATGTTATATATTGTTATTAATTTACTTATTGTTTATCTTTATTGGTTATTGTTTAATAATATTATTGTTAATTATTTTATTATTATTGTATATTTGTTTATAATATTTATATACTACTATACTATTTACTATACACTATACAAATGTGAAACCATAAGAGTAATTGGTATTATTACTATTTGTATTATTTATTGTTACTGAAAAGTTTGTTTTTGTATTTATAGGTGTGCTTCACTATTTGAATTCAGTACCTCAGAACTAGCGCAGCAGATGACAATTCTAGACTCAGAGCTGTTCTTAAAGATTGAGGTGAATTAACAATTATAAAATCTACAAAGTGTGTGATGAGCTGTATGTGTGCTATCTTACTACCAGTGAAATATCCAGGGTGTCAAATAAACAAGTTAATAGAAACTTTGTCCAGAGAAAAGCAGTCTGAACCACCAGACTGTTAACTAAATAATTTGGCATACTCTTTGTCCAGAAATAAAGCGATTTATTCAGATTGTCTATAAGCTCTTTGTTGTACAAACTCAATTTGTAAAAATAAAAAGCACAGAATAGTTCATAGTCAATCTATTGATTTTTTTTTGTAGATTCCTGAGGTGCTACTTTGGGCGCGGGAGCAGTCGGAGAAGTTGAGCCCAAATTTGACGATATTCACAGAACACTTCAACAAGGTCTCGTACTGGTGGGTATTGCTAGTAATTCACAGTAGTAGCAATAATAAAAATATTTTTTTAAGGTTTTAATAGCTAAGTTTTAATAGCTAAGTAATAATAATAATAAATTTGATTCCGTAAAATATTTATGTTAAAATTACTTCTGTGTTCATTATAATTCTGTCTAAAGATTGATTGGGTCGACTATAAAGCTAAGTCAGCGTAAAACTGAAAAATACGCAGATTTTGGATTGATTTTTCAAATAGTTAACCCTCGTTAACCCTAAAATGACTTAGTTTATTATAATCCTCAATCATTTATTAATTAATATCTGTCAAAATTAGAATAAGCGAATTTTGGCCAATTTATGAAAATTTAAGTTGAAATATACTATACTTTTAAAGGTCATGTAAATGTTCCATTAAATTTGAAACTTTTTTTGGTGGAAAATATTAATATGTTTGATATTTTATGAGAGATAAATGTATCAGCTTCAAAATGGAAATGATTGCGCAGCCATAGTGATTGACTGTATTTAGTGCGCATCGAGAAAAGAAGGTGTTCTCCATTTTGCCATGTTCAGTTTTTTGGTAAACTATGCCTGTTGAAAATTTGATGGTGGGGAACACATCGGACTTCAAAGGCATCGCGCAAACGTTCTTCACGCGCTGCGGCAGCTTTGATCTTGGTTCATTTGCATAGCACTGTGTGTGCGTAGCTTTTTCAAGTGATCTCCTTCTCAATAGTACCTCCATGGTTTGATATTGTTGCTCTAAGGTCTCACAAAACAATAGCGTATTAATGTAGGTAAACACATGCAGTTGTGAGACAGCACGTGTGATTGTTGGACACGCGTGTATTTATGGCACTGTTCTGATTGGTCAGTTGTTAAGTTTGATTGACACTTTGGAAACGTCCATTACCAGCAAATGTCTTGGATTTGACAAATATAATGATGTGTTTTTTTTTTTGGTTCTTACAGGGTACGTTCACTTATCTTACAAGAGTCGAAAGCTAGTGATAGGGAGAAGTTACTACAAAAGTTTATCAAAATAATGAAGGTTAGTTGATGTTTAAACATCATTATGTTTGGGGGTTTTTATTTGGGGACGTGTGAGTGGATGTTGGAATGGGGTTGGCAAGTATATCAGAAAATTTATTTTAGTATTAGTAGGGCATTTTTTAGTCTCCATTTAAAATATTCTACCTCTCAAAAAGATGTTATGATCTAGTGTAATAATGATGAAAGTATCCACATTTGCCAATCAACCACATAACAGCATATCAGTTCCCTGGTTTGAATAATTAGGAAGATTACTGATTACTGTTGTTTTATTTACTCACTTTTCTTTTATTTTTATCTTCATAGTATTTAAGGAAACTAAATAACTTCAATTCGTATTTGGCTATACTATCAGCCCTGGACTCGGCACCAGTTAGGCGGTTAGACTGGCCCAAGTCATATGTTGAGGTGAGATATTATGTGTTTATAATTGCTATCAGATGTACAGAATTCAAAGTGCTTATTTTACCATCTAAAACTCGACTTACCCTATCCTTAATTAAGGTTAGGGTTGGAGTGCGCTTTCACTAACCATCACTTAAATACTTTGTAAACTAATAGACGTACTACCGGCTAAATAAGCACAATGTTTAGAATCACTGTATGTAATACAGTACAAGCTTTTTCAAAATGTTGCTAATGTTGTCTTAGTAAGTAGTTAAGATTTCCTACTGTTGGTTATGTAATTATCTTTTTCTATTGTGTATCTACTCAAGTTCAGAGTATAAGCCATCAATTACAAATCTCATCTGACACATATGAGTTCCATTGCCTCAATCTGCTTCTATTGTGTGTTCTTCCGTCTTCGTTTTTTTAATATACTCCTCATTCATGTTTTATTTTCTGCCCTCAATTTTATTATTTTTTAGAATGTTAAAAAGTTCTGTATTTGTATGACAGTGTCAGTATTTCATTCTTTTATGCTTTCTTTTTTTACAGGATCTTAAGGAGTATTGTATTTTGATTGACAGTACTTCATCATTTCGTGCTTACAGAGCAGCTTTAGCAGAAGCTGAACCGCCCTGTATTCCTTACCTGTAAGTTTTGTTTCTCTTATCTAAGACAAAATGAACTGCTTATGGTAAAAAAAGAAAATTCCATTGATGCACTAAAAAAACCTGATTACAGACTACAGAATTCTTTAGATCAATTACCAACTAGTTGAGTATCTAGGCAAAGTATATACAAACAGCATAATTCTTTGTGGCTGTTAATTGTCATGAAAAATATTTTAAAATTATAACTATAATAATTTACTTAAATACTGTATACAGATAAACCATAAATATTCATAGTATTGTTTTAGTTTATAAGCATGCTTTATTGATGCCAAGAAAGCATTCGATCGTGTAAATCGAGATTGCCTTTGGTATAAACTACAAAGTATTGGTATTCATGGGAATTTCTACAGTTGTATTAAAAGTTTATATAATAATGTTAAGTCTGCCATCAGAATAAATGATCATATGACAAGTTGGTTTGTCATCTGTTATAGGGTAGCTAAATTTGCCTACTAAATCCTCTCCTTACGGCAGTCTTTTGTGTTTTTTTGAACTGACAATTTAATTGAATGCAGTCTCCCTTAATTTGATGATAGGCCGGCCTCTATTTTTATACTTTTATATATTGGTATATTTTGTGTCTTAATGTTTTTGTATGTCAACTCATTTAGCCTTGCGTGCTCCCAGTTTTGGGACACTGTTCTGGGCTCTTTATTTGTTTCCTGTATTGTTTTTATGCAATAAAGTGATTTTATATATTTTAAGAAATGTTTGTATGTTTTGTTTTTAAAACATTTTTAATCATGTTTTTTGCATGTGTTTTAAAAATGTCCTGTATTTCACTCATAAGCCAGAATTGGCTGGTCTCTGTTTTAATCTGAGAGTGTGAAACAAATAAATAAAGAACTAACTAACTATAAAAAGAGATATCTTTAAAATATACCTGTTTACTTGATGTTATTTAATGTTTTATTATTATCACTTCCTTAGTGGGTTGATTCTTCAAGACATTACATTCATTCATATTGGTAATCCAGACTTACTGGAAGATGGAAAGATAAACTTCACAAAATGTTGGCAGCATTTTACAATACTGGATAGTATGCGAAGATTTAAACAGTAGTAAGTAGACCAGTCAGTCAATCAATCAGTCAATCAATCGATTTATCGATTTTGAAAATGAAACTCAAATTATATTCAGTAGAGTTTTGCATCAATCTTGAAACTAACTAAAATACTGTATATGAATTTTTAAGTACATTTAGATTGTCTATTTTTGTATGTTTACCTGGAATAAGCCACTTATTTCATTTCACTTTCAAACATGTACATCCACATGTAAAAACAATTCATCAACATTAAAATCATCATCAGGCTCATTACCATCATCTTCAACATTATGATCATGGTTATGATCATCCAAATTATCTTGATTGTCAGCATCATTAACATTATCATCATTACCATCATTGATCATCATCAATATCATCATAACTATCATTGCTATCATCACTTATGTGATTGTCACTGCAAATATCACCAGTAATCGCATCATCATTGTTACTCTGGCAGCAACTGGTCTTTTTTACGTTGTATGCACTTTTAAATGCTGACTAGTATTGTACTTTTAGTAAAATGACAAACTGTTGTTGTCCTTACAGCCAATATGACAATCTTGTAAAGAAGGAAAATGTACTGTCATTCTTTAATGGATTCAATGACTATCTAGACGAGGAAGCTATGTGGCAACTCTCAAAGGCTATCAAACCACAAGGAGGACAGAAATAAAAGTGTTAACAAAGCAATAGAATGTGGAAGTCATATACAGGATATAAAAGAGCTAGGTGTTGGCAATCACAATGCCTCCTGTAGAAGGTTTTGACAACCACACCACCTGTAGCTGGTCGTGGCACGTGTCTGGAGACTCCATCCACCAGTATCAGCTTTCAAAAAGTACACCTTCACCAGTACCAGGAGTCGACATGCACGCTCCACCTAAAGATTGTGTTGCCCAACATTCTGTTCTTGTTCAAGATGTCACAAGATGTACTGCATCATGGTGGTGAAAGTGGAACCATACACACCCCCATCTGCAAAAGGTGTCAACCAACACCCTTGTGTCACAAAACACACCAAGACACCGCCACCTGTACTAGGTGTAAAAAATACACCTTTACTAGGAAACAGTAAACACCGTCCACCTGTGCTAGCTGTCATAAAATTTATTGCAATATGCCAATGAAATTGGAAGCAAATGAACCACCACCTGTAGATCAGGATGGTCGTCGAATCCAATTTACTACCTCTTTTGGTCATCTTATTGATTAAAATACCCCTTCTGTGCTTGGTGTATTAACTCAACTGTATTCACTGTGGGTCAAATTATTCATTATAAGGCTGGCTGGTAGTCTTGTAATAATCAAATGATGTTGCCTCTCAGATCAAAATGAGTATGATAACTAATTGGACAATAATGAGCAATTTGCCATCGCTCCCAAAAATTGTGCATAATATGCAGTATATACATTGAAAGGGATAATTATTTATAGCCAATACATTAGGCATACTGACAAAGTGTGATACAAATATAACTGAAATATTACTATTTGCAATACACTAATCGTATAATCTGTGTATTTTTTTTACGAACTTATATTGTGTAACTTGCCAGAAAAGCTTAGAATAACTTTGTACAGGTATACAACAGAAATTAAATCATCACTTTTGGATTGCTTTCCATTCAAGATAATTTATCAGTACCTGGACATAATGTATACAGGATAGTGTTACCTGGATGGGCAGGTGCCTGGATTATATCATTGCTGGCAAAAGTTCAGCATTTGTAAACGTTTTGGAGAGAGCAATATAAGTTGTTGTAATCACCTGACAAGTTTTAAAATAAATGTAATATACACAGCACTTTCGTTACAGTGGGATGGAAATTTTAATTGGGTGTTTATGGGATTTCAACAAATATAATGGCTATCTGGAGTGTGAATCGAACAACTGAGTAATCCGCTTGTTATTCAAGGGGCAGGGCCAGTAATACATAATGCCCCACAAACATACAAGTTTACTATTACGTATGCTATGGCTTCTGTTTGGTGGGAGCATAGCAACAGTATCCAAGGGCATGGCTATGGGGAACATCCATTAAGATTTAGATCTTACCTTCAATGGTTTTTTGCTAGTTCATTCCCGACAAACTGTGTTTGTATTAGCAATGAATTCAGATAAACAATGTTTTTTCTAGTTACTTGGTAAACTAAATTTGATGTGTTTTTTTGTACATCTACTTAACAGGGTAGTAGTTAGGTAACCACAATCAATAATGTGTTAATGATAGATTCATTAATTTGTTAATTAATCAATGATTGATTCATTAATTAATAGATACATGTCATATGACATGAAAAATGCAAATAAGTACAAGTTGAATGCCAGTGCGAATTGATACATACCGATTAATGACAGAAATCATAACAAAGCAATCTTATTATGTAGACAAGAATAATTACAAACCAATCAAAGAATAAGATACCAATAATTTATTTTAGGGATCATGAGAAATACTTAATTTACATGTTGAATTGTTTTAAAAATGCAGGGAGATCAATAGCTGACAGTCCAAACCTGTAACTTAATTCTCTGGCCCTTCATAGTTTTGGATATATAGGTCAAGTGTGATGTCATAATTTATTCATATCACTACTGTATATTGCTTGCTGCTGCACCTCTTCCGTGTGTAAATTTGGTGCTGAAAACATAATAATGACAAAAACAATTAATTAATTACTGGAAATTTGTTGAGACACTAGAATAATGTGTTCATGGTCGAATGATGTGTTGATTGATAGGTTCACAGCATTTGCGGATACAGGTTTACAGGTTTTTAGTGATACCTGCTGATGATTTGCTTTTTGATTAAAAAAAGACACATACAAACTGGGCAGTGAAAAAAAGTGGTTATTTTATTCATCAAAAATAGGATATGGAGAGTTAAGACATTATTAAATGGTTGCTTCATATAGCACATATTAGCCCAAGACCTCTAGATGCTTAACATTTTTACCCAGGTCATTGAAACATAATTCTTAATGAAACACATACTCAGCTCCCTGGTGGAGCGTTCCATAAACTTGTAGCATTTAAACTTATGGTATCAGGTACCCACCGTTTAAAAAAACTTGAACTTAACATTTTCTCTGGGATAGGAATTGGGAGCTGTTATTAGTTAGTAGTTAGAACCTAAGTACAAAGTAAATCAGTTTAAAGAATAATAATAAATTACATTTTGTATCAGTAACTTAAATGTGTACTACTCTTACACTTATATTATGCATTTTATATATAAAACAGTGATGTATACGTTGCGTTAACGTTTTCAATCACTCCCTCTTTGAACTAAACTGTTCTTAATAATGTTTGATGTTGTGATTTGCGTAAAGTGAGTATTTATTGTGAATGTTTGCTCATCATAAATCAATTGTTGGGGGCATTAGTCTAAGCTGCATCGGGCTTAGGCAATCTAGTATTGATTTTAAAAATATCTATACAACTATAGGTTTATATTTGAATAGTTCTTGGTAAAATGTCTCCTGTTGCATTCAAGCCACAGATGCATCCAGTAGTAATTAGGGCAAAACCCCTCTCACATCACGTGCTTGTGACCACCTCATAAGCAATGTACATGTGTGTGTGTGTATGTGACAAGGCCTAGCAAATATCTAGACCACGGGTGGAAATAAAAATGGGTGAAAGTGATTTTTTTTATTTCACTGAGGGCTGAACCCAAACCTTCATGATAGAGATTTACAGTCAGTTTTAATATCACTTTTAACTAACAATCTGCCTTTGGGTCGTTATTACAAGGGGTTTTCTAGCCAAAAATGATAGGCAGACCGCACACACATATTTTCTGCATATGTATGATGGCTCTCAAGGAAAAAAGAAATCAGGCCTAATTTTTTTCTTTATGAAATATAGACAAGAAAAATGATTAATTTTGGCCTTATATGTAGTTACGTTGTTCATTACTTTATTGCTGATTTTATACTTTTAAAAGAAAATTTGTATTACAGTATAATTTTGAATAATTTGTATTTGCTCCAACCATGGTTATCTAATTTACAAATTTCAAGTTTTGTTGTGAAAAACAATTATGTTTTTGTTTTTTGTCACAACATAAGACAAGAAATAAACACTCCAATGATTTAACCATTCCACTTCAAAAACCAAATTTTGTTGGGGTTGAGCCCCCTGAACATAACATTGTTCAGCCTGGTTATGCAGTATTTGTCATCAATTTAGGATGGGGCTGAATATTTGAGGGCTGGAGTGTATTTATCCGATTAGTAGTTATGCTTATGTTTGATAACATTTTTTAAACTATGCAAACCATGTCTTAGCAATGCAATGGTGGCTTTTGCAACTTTTTTTTATTTTAAGAGAAATTTCTGTAGTTAGTGGTAGCTGTGGGGGTAGCTGTTAAAAAGCAGTTTTTCTCAGAGAATGTCATGGTCCAAAATCAAATTATAGTTCGAAGGAAATACAAATGGCCTGTCCATGATTAATATTAATTTTTGAAGTAATTAAATATGAAGTACAGTAATTGAATAAGAAAAATGTAATTTAGAAGGTGAAAAGAGTCTTGCATTTAATCAATTTCCTTTGCAAAACTGTGATTTCAAATACAGTATTAATTTCAAGAAATATGATAGATATAACTATATTATCTATAAAGATGACAGCCACTTACATCTATACAAATGTGATTGGAAATATTTACAATTTCATATTACCCAATTCATCTCAGAATTTACCATTTTCTCTTTGAAAAAATAAACCCAAGTTTGCTATATATAGTAATAAAGTTGTTTATGTACTGTTGACTAAAATGGACTGAAAAGTACTGTACTTAATATTTGTGAAGTGTTTTCATTGCCCCATTGTGCATAGCAAATTTCCTCGAAAGCAATATATATTAAGGCGCGGTAGAAATTCCTGTTTTATTGTTGTTATTGCTATGTATCTAATGTTAAGATTCCTGAATGCTTACCATTTCTAGAAAGTTATCCAAATCAGTCAACCAGAAACTAAACCGCTCTAGTTAGTGTATTTGTATTGCTGAGAATATATTAGATGTTGACATCTAAGTTTGGTTTTCTTTTACTCTCTAATTAAGTAATTTGCTTAATTAAGAAATTAAGCTTGGTATATTCTTTTATAGGTAGATATTGATAAGTATTTGTATAGTTGGCATATAGCTGACACATTAATATTGTACATATTTTAGAATGCTGTGTATACGAAAATGATATAGGAAAACCCCTATTTATCAACATTTAGTTTTAATTTTTAAATAATTAAATTTCCTTTTATATTTCTCTATATTGAATGATTTTTTTGATTCGGATTTTTTTTTAGAGAAAACCTGGTTGTTTATTTTGTAATGGAAATGTCATTGATACAAAGATGTATAGATAACAGTGACAAATTTAACTATTTTGAGATGTACAGTCAACAATCTAAATGATAATCTCAAATACAGAATTTGATTTAAGAAAATAAATCAATATTCGACAACGAATAAAACATACTGTATAAGAATTTTATGTGTAATTTTATTGATTTCAAAACTTTGTACAACCTTCCACAACGTTATGTTACACCCATGTTAAAAATAATAAACTATTTATAGGAAATGGTATTCTTGTACTTACTGATTCTCAAAAACAATTTCGAGTCTGCATTCTATTACTGTATTATCCAATAGGAGGCTACTGAGGTACAGTATTCAATCTGACAAGATCTCAATGCTTTGGCAAATTTTGGAATCAAATTTATTTTTGACAACACACATACTAAATTGTTAAAAATCTATTAAACCACCCTTCCAGTGACACTCAATATTAACTCAAAAACAAAATCAAAACCAGAGCTTCACATTAGGAAATCGTTACAGAAAAGAATGGAAACAACTTTTTTTTAAAATAGAAAACAGCTGAATATCTATAAATGATATCATATTGTTGTACAGTATATGTATTATAAAAATAAAAACATCCTGAATCTTCTTTCCTGTGCTGCAACATGCACCATGATTCATTACCATCTTCTACTCTTTCAGAACATACATAGCATGCTCTTCCTAAAACTTTACATCATTATGCACATATTATGAGGTTAAAAAAGATATTTGTCACAGGCAAATTAATACACTTTCATTCTTCCCGAAAATATAATTGCTTAACATTAACCTATATGTAGCGCCCTCATTTATGCATGTTGTCGATCAGTGTCCCCTTTGGTTTTGCCTTTTTAGCAATTTCTCTTGCAGCCTGAAAAGACATAAAACATCAATAACGGTTATTTAAATAATATACCATTAAGTGAAAGGTGATTCAAAGGAAGCAGATATTGGCCTTGTTGGGAATATACAATAACATCACTGCTGTGACATTTTGGATATCATTTGAAAACTACTGAATGAAGAAACATGAAAGTCTCACCTCTTCCATTTTTCGCTTTGTCAATCCCTTCCTCTCCAGCTGCTTTTCAATTACCCTGGCATTCTGAGCATAAGAATCTGCAATTTCTCTCTGTAGTATAAAGAAATATATTTTCCTAGGTTGAATTATTATTCCTATTATTTAATATTATTTATTTATTATATTATTATTATTTATTATTGGTGGTCATGTCTTAAAGTTTGTATTAAAAACTTATTTTGACCTACTGCACACTTCTTTTTTTTTGTTTGTTTATATAAAATGTAATTTCAATTGTAATAATTATTGTTGATTAATTTATATTTTGTGTGTGTGTGGTAATAAAACAAACAATTTATTTCATAATTCCAAATATAACTCGGTCATCAAGCAATTTAACCCCATTATACCATCTGTCGTATCACTGCTAATGTGTCTTAAACCGTATCAGTACTCTTCTAAAATATCGTTATTCCAAATTTGAATATATCTTCTTTAAATATTGAAATTAATGATTTTTAAATGATTTTTAAATTAAAAGTAAATTTTTCTTGATGCTTAATTTTATCACATGCCACACAAGCTCCGACTTGTACTTTATCTGTTCACTCACCGCTTCTATCTCATCTTCTTCTTCATCAATTGTTGACACAGTAACAGAACTATACTTGCCCATCTCTTTCGTTCTCTTTGTGACCATAACCTAAAAAACATTTGGAATAATAATAAAGTCAATTAAAATGATACTATATTATGTATCTTAGAAGTACAGTACTATATTATAAATAAATTTAGACCAATTTCTTAGTAATTTCAAGAGTGTACAGAGATGCAGGCAGTGACATACTTAGGGGAGGGGTGAGACGGGAAATCGGTGGATGACGTGCAACCCAGATACACCACGACACGGGACATACAGACTCGTATGACCCAACATTTACATGCTGATGTCAAATGGAGGCAACTCTGACAGTGCAACAGCTGGACCAGAGTGCAACCTTGTTCCATTCATTCATTTTAACGTTATTTACCATTCATAAATTTGTATTGTTTTGTTCAGGCTTTTTTGCCACTCTTCATCAGGAAAAAACTAGAGTATTTTTTGTGATGATGATCTTACCATCATTATAATCTTTGTCCAAACCAATTGGTATGGGGTGCTTGGAAATGATAAGCAATTTACCTTTTTATCGGGTTTAACTTTAACTGGTATTGGTTTCAGAGCCGGACCCTCGCCACTTGTATACACAGCACCTTCTACTACAAATAATATACTTGTATCCTTCTCCTTGTGATGATAGAACAACCTTAAGCCACATCTAGCAGTAGGTAACAAATAACAATCAAACGTTTGCACATTAATATATACATGAACATAAAATAGTTGAAATACCACATTTAAAAAAAATAATAGCACAGTAGTAGTTAACTGTCACTGAGTGTCCGAATGGCTGGCAAACACAATACTGTAATGTACCGAAAGATTCTTAGGATGGGCTAAGCCACCATTTCTGAATTTCATTTATTTACTATCACTCATAAAGGGTATGGCAGAATAGATCCCCATTACCTCAGCTTCCTAAGCTTTGTTGTGCTACAGTAGAAGGATTTAACATTAAAGAGTTTGAAAAAAAAAATAGTACCTTTTGCATTTTTGTCTGTATTGCCTTTCCACTCCACCTGGTCTGCAATAAGAAACAAATAGACATTTATATCTTGGCAAATTATTGTTGTCACATTACATTTTGTATAAGCAATACTCCTGTTATACACTAATACCTTTTTAAGTGAACCGTTTCATCACGTTCGCAAGTCATCTTGTGTACGTGCTTACTGGCATCTATAACACGAGCACCATCACGTTTTCTCAGTGGTAACTTGTCCAATGTACAATCTGAAAAAAATATGTCAGTACAGTAGTATTAAAGATTGATTGCCAAAATTCTGATGTAAGAGATTTCATTTAAGTATTCCCTCTTGTAAGAGCCACATAAGAAAAACTGAGAATATTCATTATGCAGTTTTTACTAACTTTACATCTTTATGATTAATATTGATTGTTATTGATTTAGTAAAATATTTTATAATTTTGTTTAAAATTTATATTTTAATATTTAAAGGACATTATTGCACAAAAATTAGTGATTATAGAGTACTACAGTGTTGCGTCACAATACCATGTGATACTACTCCGTTGCTATCGTTGCAAAATGTGTTCAAACGGACTCCGTTTTCTGCACTGACAAAACCACTGATCCCATATTAAAATGTTGTATCTTATTTTTTCTTCATAAATTTTAAATGATGATTAAATGTGTGTTCTAAACACTGTTTAATCCCACAAAAACTACTTTTAAAATATCATCCTCACCAGAATCAGAAGTGGATTTGGAGGAAGGTCGAGAACCTCCAGACCCAGGATGACATAATTCACCTGAATCATCAAGCCCACTTTCATCACTTTGTCATAATCCATAACTGTTAGCTTCAAAAAGAAGCAACAGATCAGGATTACCCCAACTGATGAGGATAAACTCTACTATTGCAGAGACACAGCATCTATACTTCAAAATTTGTCTGCTACAACTGGTGTCATATAATAATTTCCCTTTTCTTTTCAGTAATTCTTAATATCGCGAAAGTAACAATATTAAATAAATAATATTATAAGGCTTATTTATGTATATAAAAAAATAATGCACAGAAAAGATGAACAGAGTAGATATTTGTGATGGGAAGTGTACAACATGTATACAATGAATATTCATATTTTATCTGGCTCTAGAGGGCCGATCAAAATAAACGCTCTGGTCATCATGAAGACAATGTCGCTAGTTTTTTGTTTGTTTTTTATAGTTTAGCGATTTTACACTAAAATCACATCCCATATAACATTATTTATACTAATTAATAAGTCTTATAGTCATGTAAATGATGTCTCTATAAATCTACTATAGAATTTTATTACAACCATCGACTGTACTAGGCTAGGCCTAAGCCCACATTACGTAGCGTAGTTGGATAAAAAGGCCAAATAACAGTTTTACATGGGCTTACCGTACCGAATACACTGTACACCAACCAAAGCCACTAGGGCCTAGCAAATGGTCACAAACAAACTCACCTAAAATTAGAACCATTTGCCCACACATACAATAATACGTTAACAATGGCTTCTCTTGCTTATATTCTTCACGATCTTTTGTGTCAGACACAACAATACTTCGTGTCACTACCTTCGGCATTTCAAAATTTACTTCGAGAACGTTTAATTTAAGATAAGACGTGTATGGGCTTATTCGACTGGTTCATTTCGTTGAGTACGAATTTTCGTTGAGTATTATTTTCATTTGACTGGTTCGTTAAATAGACTTCGTTGACAACGAAAATTAACGTAAACCAGAGTGCGTTTAATCAGCGTTAAGTTATCCACGTGACCAAAAAAAAAAAACATGGCCCATTGGTAAGTTTATAAACAACATTTTGCGTTAATACAACTTAGATTAAATTCGTACTCAACGAAATGAACCAGTCGAATGAAGTGCAACAGGTTAATATAAATATTCATGAGTAATGTTGAATATTCATAATTAGTTATTCTTGATTTGACGGCACACTTTTATCAAGCAAGGCACTTTAATATCTCGCTAACATCTCTACCTACCTGACAGCTTCATTATTTTTTAGTTGGTTTTTATACGTCATTCAATGAAACATAAGTACTGTACATCATTTATATTGCGCATGCAGTCTACTTTATTTAATCATAATATTATACAGGGAATTCAACAATAACAAAACCTATTTTACTTGTACATTATCGAATCAAAACACAGTGAGATATCTTTTATTGTAATTAATTCATTGCCTAAAACAGTTGGATATAGATGACATCATCATTTATATTTATGGATAATATGTTATGTTGATAATTGTGGTATTATTTCACTTCCAGCGGGGAGTGATATTCGTTTTGCATTTCTTGTGCTGTGTCCAAAAGTAGTTCCGTATCGAAACTTCTGGCCTGCAAAGATGAAAAGAAATATGCATATCTTTTTTTACGTTAGGTACAATCGTAGATAATGCATATAAATTAGTGAGATTGCGCATGATAGGTGACATCATCTTCAATACTTTGGCCTACCTGGTATATGTCCAGTATAGTGTGGGACTAGACCGGTGTCGAGCGTATAAATTCGTCGAAATTCCTTTCGGACTGGTGACAGTCTGGTCAACTTGACAGGGTGGTCCATTCGTGTCCTAGTTTTCTCAAGATCGCCAGTAAATGAATTCAATGCTTCGTGAGTTATAATCGGATATCCCATGCCTATTAAATTTCGGGCCTTCGGTACAAATCCAGTGTAACCTATGAAGACGATGTGTTACGATGGAAAATAAATTTAGTCTAAACTTAAGTTTACTCTAAACGTATTCCTCCATGGTTATTACATAATACTTTATTGATTGCTTGAGACTTTTATTCATGTTATACCGTAAAACCTCGAATTGAAGCCCAGTGGGCTTAATCTCGAGAAGAAGCCCATCTCCAATTAAAGCCCTCTCTTTAGTTTGCAAAATTAGCCTCATAAAGAAGCCCATGGGCTTCTTTTCAAGATAGCATAGGCTACTGCTCGAGATAGTACAGATACACTGTACATGGATTTCAAAAAATATAATAAATAAAAAACAAAGCTTAGTTTATACAGTAATTTAGGTGATTTAATGCCAGTTAAATACACTCCATGATACAAATTGATGTCATTTATTGTTTTATAGTACAAATTCACAAAATTTACAGCATTCATTTTGAAAAGAAGCACCCCCTCCCACCCCACCCTCCTTCTTTACTTTACCAAAGTAGCCTAAGCTGTGGGTACGTGTGTAGGATGAGGCAACAACCAATCACAATGCAGAACTCAAGTAGTACGTGAATGGATATGATACAGTATTGTGTCGATTAAAAAGAAATCTGTATTGTTTACGCTGGAAAATAATCTTCTGAATTGTAACTGATATTAATAAAACTACCCCACAATACACGCATTAAATTTATTTTGGAACAATATCAAGCGCCGAATAATTCTATAAATGTATCAAATGTTCACTGTCATATCACATAGGCCTACCTCCCATGAAAAAGATAAGCGTCGTTATATTATGGGTGGATGACACTGATCTCTACTACAACCAGCTCCCGAGAATGAAAAAAAAAACAAAACAAAACTTTTAGACTGGACGGTTTATGACGTCACTGAGGCCTCAAAACATGGCGTCGCGGTGGTCTTACTTTTTATGTACAGGGATTGGCCGATGAGCTATCCAGCTATTAGAGATTAGAGTAGAGATCAGTGGTGGATGATAGTGAGCGAACGATTTGGATTGTTTTGCTCACGACGTACGCAGACCCGCGCACGTAGGATGGCACTACTCACCTGAGACAAAACATTTGCCAGGGTCATTGTTTTTCATATAATATGGGGATGTGGAGTGCTGCTTCTCATTTGGCGACACGTATGGAACTTTCATTGGTCGAAGATGTTTCATAGGGTCAACATCTATATCCTATTCAGAAGCAAAATCTGCACATGAATTTGAAATTCTTTATCGGGCATCGTACCGTAATATTTGTTGAAACTGTTCATTACTCTTTTAATTTTGGGAATGTTATACATTATATTTCAGCACGGTATCTTTTATTGAACAAATATAAATATGTACATAAAACAGTTTATAGAGTAAAACTGAGTTGTTAAAATATAGAATGTAAGAAAACTAATAGTAATACGCCTAGTAGTCTTACCAAATTGACGGTATGTAAAATAATCGCTTACCTTCTTTTTAATTTGCGCTACTTTGTTTCTATAGGCAATCTGGTCCTTTTCAAAGTCCGCAATTGCGTTCAAACACGTCTTGGCATATCTCGAGCCATAGTAATGCTCGCCTTTTGGGATATATCCTAAATATGACAATAACGGACAATGGTGAGGTGGTCTAATTATTCATTGACATTGTTCATTATCTTTTCTTTTTCCAAATTGTTTATTACAAAACACATAAATTGACAAGATGAAGCATAGTCAATTTAGATGTTTTTGCATGCTAGCTATTATTATTATTTTTTTTTTTAAAGGTTGGGAATGTAAACGAAAAAAAAAAACACAACAATCTTTTTTCCAGTGAAAATCATGTCACTATCATAAACCTAAGAGTCATCATTCTTACCAGTATAGCCAGGAACCATTATTTTTCCGAGTTTCTGATCTCCCCATCTAGCATTTCTCTCTTGCAACAATCCCCTCTTTGCGTCCTCTTCCTTGCCAAACACACCGGGGTTTATATCCGAGAGAATGGCCCTACCTGATGGTGCGATGTTGTCGCTCGTTAAAAGCTTCGAAGTTGTACATCCAAATGTTTTACCGAATTGGAACTTGAATTGTGGACAAAACCCACGGTACCTAAGCATACAAAATTAATTAAAAGCTAGGTTCAACAGAGTAGCTTTGTTTAGAACTTAATTTGAATGAACTATTATTAACATTTTATCGACTAAAATTTGTTTTGAAACTTACCCTGGGATATGGTACGGGTCGGGTGTCATCAAAATACTCTTGCCGTTCTTCGGTGCTGGCATCTTGAAGTTGTTTGAGGATGGATGCTGGAAGATGTGTCAATGACAGAAATTGGCAGCAGTGAGTAGTGGATACGGCTCACGTTTCTCGTGATACCCGGCAACGGGACAACAGTTGCGCGCAGGAACCTCGCACGCGTTCATTGCCATAGGTACAACCATGGTAACCATGGTAACACCAAAGATACTAATGTTTCTAGTATCTTTGGTAACACGTAATGCATTAATAACACATGGATCAAATTCGTGTTTCTGCTTAAAGTTGTTTGAGTAGCCGTCCGTAATTAGTCAGTACAGTAAATTACATCATGTAGATGAATCGGTAGCAATTTTTTTGGGATCAATATTTAATTTGATATTATAAAAACTTTTGCCTCGACCGATGAGGTTTCACCAGGTGTAGGCCTTTAATTTAAAATATAAGAATTCTTCTATTTGAAGTAGGACCGTTGTAATTTATTGTACCACCACGACCACCACCAGTTGTTGCTTCTGAAAATGAATCGGCCCAATTTCTTAGGCAAAGGCCGATTTAACTTCCAGTAGGCACACAAGTTTATACTAATCATTTTTTATATTCTAATCTTTTTGTGATAATATATACACGTGCAATATTACAATCATTCTGATTTGGTCAAAAAATCAAATTGTATCTGTAAAAGTTATGCTGATCGGCCCCCTATGGGAGAACCATGCTGTAGAATCCCCAGCAGCTAAAAGAACACGAAAGAATACTGTTTTTAAAGAGACTGCCCTCTACAGACCCCCACATTGGAAATAATGAAAATTGGGTAGAAAAGAAGAATATTCAGGCAATCTCTTACAAACATTAGGCACTTCGACGAGACTAGATCACCAGAGGCAAAACAAAAGCCAACTTTACTTCCGTTGTAATCAACTTCTTCAGTGCTTCTTCCTCCTTTTGTTCTTAACTTTGGTCATTATGCTGATTTGCAAATATAGGTGAAAGTAATCGAAGATGGGGAAATCTCCTAGCAAGCTGAGTGCAAGCGATATCAAGGAAATCCAAGATAGTACATATTGTAAGTACAGCACTGTGAATGACAACAAAATGGATAGGCCTAGGCCTAGGCTAGCCTAGCATTTAGTAAAGCCTAGGCCCAGAGAGGCTGGGCTTTACTAATTCCGAATCTAGGAGTGTTGGCTAACCCGTACACAAACCAACCCGTACCCATGCCAACCCCGTACCCACTTTGGCTAACCCGTACTCAAATTTTAGTCGACCCGGGACCGTACCCATGTTTGGTTAATCCGTACACACGTTATTTTGGTCAACCCGTACCCAAAACATCTCGTTAACCAATGTTATGATGAATGTTTAAATTGTATTTATTTTCAATAAAGCTGAAAATAAGGTACAGGACGTACATGTACTATAATTGTTGGTTTATTTTATGGTATTTTATTTTTGTTATGCATTTCGGTCGCGGAATGTGCGACTGCGTATCTACAACATGGCATGGTAGCTAAGCAGTATTACCATTTTTTAAACATGAAACTATACTAGTAACTATAATTATATGGTAGTAAAGTTTATTATTATACAGCACTATACTATAGTATCACTTGTTAACAACGAAGGTTACTATAAATAAAGTCGACTTGGTTTGAGACACGTTTTTATTATCGATAATTGTTTTATGTTTATTAATTCTTAAATAAAAGATTAGATTTATGAAATAAGTGTAGTACTGTGAAATGTTGGAATTTTGTCTTCAAAGGAATAGATATTTCAGTAATAGACATAGATTGCGCACAGCTATGGTGGGCCTAGTACTCACATAATTTTTCTAGGCTATGCGTCTTCATCTCTGGCCTTACTTAGTCTAGTGTAAATTCTACTCTAGGTCCTTCGAATCAAGAGATAGGCCTAAACCTACTGTATTTTGTTGACTATAACCAGAGAGTTATGAACACAACAATATTATGTCGGGAAGCGAATCTTAAGTACTGTATTGCATTGGTGGCGCCAGGATTTGCCCGGTGGGGGTGCCGAGGTCCCCGACGGGGGGTGGGGGCAGTTCCCTGATAAGGTGTCAGATTTCCCAGACGAAAGCAAAGTGGGCGTGGTCGAGCTTAGATTAAAAGGTTCCGAAAGAAGCCCCCGAAAATTGCGACAATTTAGGGGTTTCAAAGGCTTAATCGATTTTAGAGTACTAATATGTAAAAAATACATATAATATTTTTTTCTCCCCGACGAATTGTGCTTTTTCCTCCCCGACAGGGGGGTGGGGGCAGCTCTCCCTGATGGGGGGCCCTGGCCCTACCTCCCGCTGGCGCCACCACTGCTGTACAGTATTGCATTTGCAGAGCCACGTGCAGGCATTGTGGGCGACTCAGAACTGCCCATTTTCCAGCGGGGTATAAATGTTTTTAACATGACGCGTGTTGTAAGTGAACTTTTCACAGATTAGGCAGTGGTTAAGCCTTACATTTTTGGGAATCCTCACCGAATATTAGTATGAAAACAATGTACATTCAATCAATAAAGGTTGCTTTTATTAAACGCATATATAATTTAGATTTAGTTTAATGTAACAATCGATAGATTTGAAGAATATAAAGAATTTGCTAAAGGTAGACCAGGCCCAATTAGGCTACGCCGAGTTGATTAGACCAAGCTGTCACAGTAAAAGTGTCCATCCCAAATAATTGTTGGCCGTCCAAAAGACAGCCGGACGGCTCGCTGCAAAGCCTATAGTCTCGTCGGAACAACCTAGTTGATAAGGTCCCAGCAAAATGCCAGTATAAACATACGTAAACTTGTGAGTTTTTTGGATATTCGCATATTTCTGGCTATTAAGATGTTCTGGTTATTAAGTTTGACATTTTGGAAGGTCTATTGACGTATTGTGCTGTTTGGCAACTCAGATATTTTGCCTTGTACAGTAGTTACTGTATTACTTTTTTACTGTTAACTCTGTGTATCTGTCCTGATAAAATGCTTAGTGCTAAGAATGGCTAGTGGTAACAATTTTTTTTTTCCCGTTCACATCCAACAGCAAGTACACTCACCACTTACAGGATGGAATGATGCTCTATAAACTAAGTTTCTTTGATGAATCTTGGGAGTGGTGTTGTTTTTTAGTCATGAGAAAATATTCTGCAGTGACGGGGTATGAACCCAGGACCCTGGGATTGAAAAGCAAACATTTTAACCACCGCGCCCCTCCAAATAATAGTTAAAATTGCTCTTGGTTATAGCTTGTAAAATGTGATCCATACAAAACACGTCTTTATTACCGTAAAACTGTACAAGTCGTCCTAAAAAAAAAGAATCATTACAACAAGGAAGTTGTTTAATATACAAAGAAAATTAAAGTAGAGTAAGTATCATCTAGGCTACAAACATAATGCTTGAGGATTTTTATAGTTGATTTTTCGCTTTTTTTTATGGTAAATTGAGGTCTTACTATACTATGACAAATATAGAATTACAGTTTTTTCACGTTTAATGTTAAGTATATCTTTTTATTTCCCAGTTGATAAAAGAGAAATACAACAATGGTGAGTACAAAGTGTATCCCACTGTATTAAATATTTACTTATTGTGTGCTATGTACTTTAGATTTTATGATGCAAATGGTTTTTACAACATTCTTGAATGTTGGTGAAAGTTTTGTTGCCGTATGGTGAGATGTTAAAACATTTTGGATTAATATAGGCAATGTATTTACATTTCTTTAATGCATAATGAACTAACATTTTGAAACTTTAGTGCTCAAAGAAACAACTATTACCGGTAATTTAATACCATGCCTCTCTTATGATAATATTGGACGGACTCTTGTCTATGAGTCTTGAGGAGTGAATAGCTGGTCATTTGGGACCCTTGATGCTCTATGCAGGCAACGTAAGTCTTTTTATGGTCATTATAGAATGAACCCTCACCACCCTAACCAAATTTCTTTTATGATGCTCGGTGAGTAGACAACTGATCATTTCCGGATATTTCGTGGCCTAACCCATGGAGATACAGATCTCTATGCCAAACCACATTAATGAGGCTTAGGAAATAATAAAAAAATCTGATCATTACAGTGCTGTATGACCCCATGGCCTATGAGGCTCAAGGTGTGTTCCATAGGATTACTTTTGACACAGGGTAAATACAGTACAGTAATATTAATAGCTTGGTTATTTTTTTGTTGTGCAACGTTTACTTGGTTAAACCACAGATCCTACAGTATATACAAAGGGATAGGAAACGATCTCTACCAGCCCCTACGATCCTATACCTACAACACTACATACCTCGCTAATTGGATAATTTCCTTGGCCTATGCTTGTAATTTGCTGCAGGCAGTTTTCGAAGCTTTTAAAGAGCACCACATATCGTCAAGGATTGTAAAACATCGGGGGAAAATCTACAACCCTATCTATTGTTGGCTTAATTTCCTCCTTTTTTACACTGTTGCTTCTTTGTAATGTCGGTAGATGTTGAAGACATTACTGTAAGTGGTATCAATTTCAAGGCAGGTCGATTAAAATCATGAGAATTTTAACCAAATTTTTGAGTGTATTTCCAAGCTTACTCATCAGAAGTGAACTACATTCCAATGCCGTAATAACTCGAAAATCTAAGTTAAGATGATTTTTTTTTGTGTGATAATTTCAAATGCGTATCGTAGAATCAGCTAAAATTCTGTTTAATATAATACTGAGTTAATAAACTGTATGTAGAACATTTTCTATACAAATTTCACTGTGATTTACGGCAATTAACACGCAAACAAATACACCATAATTTATGCATTTAGAAGTTTTACAGGGGATATTGGGTGTGTGTAGATCTGGGTGATCAGTGTTCCCAGTGCTACTACTCTGCAGAACCATGTGTAATCGACGTTCGGAGAATAAAATTAAATGTAATATTAATGTGACTGATTAGGTAAATAGGCATAATTAATTGTCTATGATGCTACTGTATTATTTTTTATTTTTAAGTTTGGAAAGGGCAGTAAATGAAATTCTATTTAATTAAATAAATAAAAGTAAATAACTGTAAAAATTAGGCCACAGATCCTATAGGTTGTAGGCCTATGATTAGGCCTATTAAGTATTATACAATATATAATACTTACACCACTTTATTTTGACGACTCGGAGCAATTGATTATTTCTTTATATTTATGCAATACTGTATTTCTTTTATATATTACGGGTTGAACTCAAAATCAAAATATGTAGTTATTATTTTGAATAATATCGTCAGCTCAGGCCTACCAATTAATCAGTGTGGTACGGTACAGTGCACTGATGAAATGTGTTGCCGTGCTGTGAATAAATACTGTAGGCCTACATTTTCATGTGCTTTATCATCATCGTGGGATTACGGTATTACCTCATTCAATAACAAGTTAACATTTCTATATTAGTAAAAACTGTAAGTGTAACTGTATAGGATCTGTGCTGTAATGTTCAATATCGGCAATCGTGATTCCCATTCTTGTGCAAGAATTTTGTGCATAGTAGTTGCTAGCTCCGCAGGCCTGGGCTAGCCTAATACCAGTTGCTGTAGTCTTGGGCCTTAGATCTAGTCAGCACTATGAAACCGGTAGCGGCCTATTGTCTAGAATAGATAAATAATGTACTGTACATGATAAATAATAAAGATAAATAATTTATAAATAATTTATATGAATGTTAAAATTGACAGGATCTGTGTAAATAGCTAGGCCTACCCACTCAAGCCTACTGACAAGCTGAGTGTATGAAGGTTGTGTCCTTAAAATGCCTGCTGGCTAAATTTTACACTCCTGGAAAATCAATTAGCTACGCGCCTATGACAGAGGAAGATACTGTACTGGGTTGCCTATCTGTTTGTATATAGGATCTGTGGTTAAACTAATACTACTGTACATGGTTTGGGTTGCACCAAGGGTAATGTCACACAACCTATTCACACACGATTTGTAGGTTTTAGTTCAACCAAAAAACTACAGTATAGTCTGAACAGCGCTTAAGGAATGTAATTTTGGGTACTCAGTGACAGTATACTATTGTCCGACCACTTCAGTAATCGGTCCACTTTCAGATTGTCGGAGTGGAAAATCCTGGACTATTTCAATAAATGAACCATTGTTGTTATGATACAGTATGTTTCAATTATTTTATTATAGGCACAAAGACTTTATGAAGGATTGCCCTAGTGGAGCGCTAAGGAGAGAGGTATGTAGCATTTTTCATATGTTTTTGATAATTTTCATTGGGAATAATTTCTTCATTTCTGTTATAAGTTAATCAATTTCAGATTCCTTAATGATTGCCATATTTCCTCAAAATTGGCCCGATTTTTGGGGGGGTGGGGTGGGGGATTATACCCGGGGATTCCCCTGTGCATGAACCACGGGGATTCCCCTGTGCATGA